AATGATTGTTTTAAGCTGTTATATTTTCCTTTACATATTTTCCGTTTTTCCTTCCCATCTCCCGATTACCGCTAGACTGTCTCCGTAAACATTTGTAAAATTTTCTCGGTAATGTTTTTGCCATTTTTCCTACAGGAGCGTTTAAGCGCCGTCACAGCAGCTCTACACCGACCAAGATACCGGGCAAGACGCTGAGAACGAGTGGCGGGGATAGACAGACGGTCAGCATTGAGCTGAGACAGTACGATCATTCCAAAGGTGACCACTGCTTGCTGAAACCACGCTCATGCTGCTGCGTGCTGTGCCACACACACACATGCTGTGGCTTCTTCTCCGTCTCCCTATCTCCCTCTTCGTCTCTCCTTCTCTCTCTCTGTCTCTCTGTCTGTCCATCTGACTGTTTCTCTGTCTGTACTTCATCCGTCCATCCATCCGCCCGTCCATCTGTCTTTCCATTTGACTGTGTGTCTCTCCGTCCGTCCGTCCGTCCGTCCGTCCATCCATCCGCCCGTCCATCTGTCTTTCCATTTGACTTCTGGGTGTCTGTCTGTCTATCTGCCTGTGATGCTTTAATGTACATCTTTCTCTTGCTATCTGTTATATATGTATATATATCTTTTCCTCAGGTGCATTTACATACGACAGTTTTCAACTTGGTAAGGGCCACAGGTTCTGCCTCATGCCGCTCAACAACGCCACCTGGTGTGACCTGTGCGGAGACCTAATCTGGGGATTGTTGAACAATAATTGCCTGAGATGTTACAGTAAGTGCCAGCTAGATCATTCTACATCATCTAAGGCTAGATGTTTGACCATTGACATGATTAGTATGGGACCTGGCAAATCTGGAAAGCCCTGAAAATTTTTGAGGACTATTCCTCCAGTCTGAAAGATACTAGCAAATGCGTGTGGTCCAGGGGCCAGTTGTCAGAAGCAAAATTAGTACTAACATAATGGGCCATCCTTAAAAAATTCTATGTTTGCTGTCCCCCGACCTATGATTTTTTGAGTGGGTAGGTAGGTAGGTCTTTCTTTGTGAGGCATAATAATTATTTTAAGTTTGTCCTCATGTTTGCCACACATGCTTTGTGTTTCAGTCTTAACTATGAGGAATGTAAAAAAAAAAAAAGGAACCCAAAATGTAAAAAAAAACTTGGGTCGCGGCTATTTTCGTGGGTCGGTCGGAGGACAGCAAACATATAATTTTTAAAGGATGGCCCTAGTACTAACATTAGTCCTAACATTAACTTTTTCTCGTTGATTGGGCCTCTATAGACTTCATGTGAGAACCTCGTAACTTTGCCATGTTTTTAAATGATCTACTGGAAAATAGGCCGTTACTGCGATTAGTTCTGGAAAGCTATTGAAATTGAATTCATGTTTATTGTCTGGGGAAGTTAATAAAACTCTTATTATACAAAAGTTTGTTAACTGGTAATTTATTGAGGGATGCGGTCGTACAGAGGTTGCTTTCAACTTAAAAAAACTTGTGGTCCTCTAAAATGGATCTTCTTAAACGTGAAAATCTCCTGGAGGACTCCTAGCGAAACGTGTTCTCCAGAGAGAACAGAAAATATTCTGTGCACGTCAGCAGTTGCATTAATTTCCCTCAAGTATAGCAGTTGATTAAGATTCCGTAAAGTGGCTCCACCTGGTGGAGATTTTTGTTACAAATAGCGTGTAGTGGCGTTACTATATTTTTTATTGGAGTTGGAGCGATTATAAGCGGAAGGCCAGGAATGTGTGAGCCTTTCAAAAAAAGTGTTGTTAAAAATTGAGTCTTTCATTAACTTCCTTCGATACTCGTTGCCTTGGTACCACCCTGACATTTACTTTGCCCCGAAAAAAAATCAACTTACTGGATTATTGTGAGGGTGGAGTTACTTACTACTCAAGCGTACACTGCTCAATTGTTTTGACATCAGCTCTCTGTTTCTCAGCGGCTCATTTTTTACCGTTTTCCTTGCTGTGTCTACCAGCTTTACTTCCATGGATTTGGCGCTTGGATTATTTCAATCCGGCAGAGGTACAGGAACCTTGGTTACTGCTCAGTGCTGACGCGGCAGCAGAGTGAGAGAGTCAGAGCAGCGCGCGCGGGTGTTGTGTTTCAGGGATCGTCTGTCTGTCTGTCCGTCGTCATGGTGAATTAGGACACATTCACGCAAACACTGCACTTCGTCCGATGCTTGAATGCGAAATGGCATGGAGCGAGTGAAGACCTATATACATGTATACACAGGAACCAAGGAGGTGAGGGGTGTATGTGTGAGGGGATATCTATATATTTATACATGGGAGGGGGTGTATGTGTGAGGGAAGGGATTATATATAAATATATATATATTTATATACTAACATATAAAATAAATGTATATTAGTATATATTCTAATTTAATACTATATCAGGGGTAATTAATGGCCACTATCTTGTATGTCATTTTTCATGTCTTTATTTATTTATATATATATATACTAATATATACGTGCGTGTATTATTACGTGCCAGAAGAGATCTATGAATGTAAACATGGGGTCAAGAGCTAATAATACCTTTTATTAGTATTATAGGTATTATTAGCTCTTTATGGGGTGTATATGTGAGGGACAAGATGATATATTAATTTATATATAGTATAAAAAAAATTTTTTATGTATACATGTATTATGTATATATATTAATAAATATTATATATAAGATAATACTATACTATATATATATATACGGGGTGGTATATACGTGTGAGAAGAGATCTATGAATGTAAAACATGGGGTGTATATCTAAGGGGAGTTGGTAGAGAAGAGATAGTAAGTGTAGGAGGTGACAGAAGGGATAGTAAGTGTAGGGAGGTGACAGAAGAGATAGTAAGTGTAGGGAGGTGACAGAAGAGATAGTAAGTGTAGGGAGGTGACAGAAGGACATAGTAAGTGTAGGGAGGTGAACAAGAATGTATAAGTAAGTAGTAAGGGTAGGTGAAGAAGAGAATACGTAGTGAGGAGGCTGACAGAAGAAGAATAAGTAAGTATGTAGGGAGGTAGACAGAAGAGATAGTAAGTGTAAGGGAGGTGAACAAAAGAGCTAGTAAGTGTAGCGGAAGGTGACAGAAGCAGATATGTAAGTTGTAGGAGGTGTCAGAAGAGATAGTTAGTTGTACGGGAGGTGACAGCAAGAGCATAGTAAGTGTAGGGCAGGTGACTAGCAATATACGTGGGCCGTGGGTGTGGACAGTTAGATAAGAGCCGAAGTGACACGCACCAAAAAACACGCCGTGACAAACATGCGCCACGCACCAGCACGCACACGCACCGAGGCGCAAGAACATCAACGCACAGCAGTAAACCGCTCATATACTGTCCATCCAGTCCATCATGCATGCGCCTATAAACACTGAGCACAAGAGCCAGAGAGAGAGAGAGAGACGACGAGAGAGAGAGAGAGAGAGAGAAGAGAAGAGGAGGGGGGAGAGAAAGTGGCGTGCTGTGTGTGTGTGTGCTGTGGCGTGCGTGGCGTGCGCTGCGTGTGTGTGTGTGTGTGTGTGCGTGGCGGCCGTGCAGTGCGCTGCGTGCCGGCGTGCGTGACGTGCGTGGCGTGCGTGCCTGATAGGCGTGCGTGCGTGCGTCGGCGTTATGTCTGTGTGTGTGTGTGTGTGATGTGTGTGTGTGTGTGTGTGTGTGTGTGGTGCATGTGTGTGTGTGTTGTGTGTGTCGTGTGCTGTGTGTGTGTGTGTGTGTGTGTGTGGTCGTGTGTGGTGGTGTGTTGTGTGATCGTGTAGTGTGTGTGTGTGTGTGACAGAGAGAGAGAGAGAGAGAGAGAGAGAAAGAAAGAGAGAGAGAGCGAAAGAGAGAGCAGAGAGAGAGAGAGAGAGAGAAGAGAGAAGAAAGAGAGAGAGAGAGACGAGACAGAAGACAGAGAGAGAGAGAGAGAGAGCAGAGACGAGCATGAGCCAGCAGAGAGAGAGAGAGCAGAGTGAGAAAGAGAGAGAGAGAGAGAGAGAGAGAGAGAGAGAGCAGCAGAGAGACGAGAGAGAGAGATAGAGGAGCAGCAAGAGAGAGAGAGAAAGAGAAAGAGAAAGAGAAAGAGCAGAGAGAGAGAGAGAGAGAGAGAGAGAGAGAGAGAGAAGTGTGTGTGGTGCGTGGCGTGCCACGATGCAGTAGCGTGCCGGTGCGTGCGGTGTTGTGTGTGCAGTGTCTGTGTGTGATGTCGTGTCGTGTGTGAGTAGAGAGAGAGAGACGAGAGAGGGAGAGAGAGTGTGTGAGTGTTCGAGAGAGAGAGTAGAGAGAGCAGAGAGAGAGAGACGAGAGAGAAAAGAGAGTAGAGAGAGACCGAGAGATAGAGAGGGAGAGAGAGAGAGAAGAGAGAAGAGCGAGAGAGAGAGAGAGAGACGAGAGAGAAGAGAGAGCAAGAAGAGAGAGAGAGAGCACGAGAGAGAACAGAGAGAGAGAGAGAGAAGAGAGAGAGAGAGAGAGAGACGAGATTGCATACCGAAAAACTAAAGAGAGGAAAGAAGAGAGAAAGAGAGCAGAGAGAAGACGAGAGCGAGAGCAGAGATTGTGCCACTAGCGAAAAATTTAAAAAGAGAGAGATGAAAGAGAAGTTTCTTCCCCCTCCTTGCCTTCCATGCTCCCCGCGTTGTGTTGAGTTATTGTTGGCTGAACGCCGCGCACCCCTTGAGGGCCAGCTGCACGACTGCTTCTCTCTCATCCTGTCCTGCTCATGTACTCTCATCCGTCTCTCTACCTCTCCTCTCCTCTCTCTCCTCTACTCTACTCATTCTCTACTCCTCTCTCTCTCTCTCTCTCTCCTACTCCCNCTCCTCTCTCTCTCTCTCTCTCTCTCTCTCTCTCTCTCTCTCTCTCTCTTCTTCTTTCTCTCTCTCTCTCTCTCTCTCTCTCTCTCTCTCTCTCACTCACTTTCCCTCTCTCTCTCTCTCTCTCACTCCCCTCTCTCTCTTTCGTCGCATCTCAAACGTTGCCTTCTAACACTGCCAACCTCGCACCTATTTTCGAACGCAGCACAAGTGTTTTCGCGCGGGCTTGCTGGCGGTACGGGCAGGAACCAGGAAGAGGTGCTGGCCTTGTAACAGTTGTTCGAGAATACAGACGCTAAGACCAGCACTGTATCCGGCGCGTGCTGACCTTTCCGTGACCTCTGCCCCGTGACGTCACGCGCAGCATCCGGTCGCGCGCGATTCGGGAATTTTTCCCCTCGGCTTTGATTGCCGTTGATTCGGGGAGGGGAGGTTGGGCGCTTCCGTTTTGCTAGGGAACTGTCTGTGTTTATGTGTGCGTGCCTGCTGAAGCTGCAGAGGCTGTGAGTCATGGGTGCCTACTGAAGCCACTAGCAATGTGATCCAGGATTGCTGGAAATAGTTGTGAGTGATGCACACAGCAACACTGTCGTCATGTATATTCTATTATGTAGTAGTATAGTATGTAGGATTACATTATGTAGATTATATTATGTAGTAGTATAGTATGTATATTATATTATGTAGA